CTCTTCATAAACATTTCCACAGAGTAAACACAGCCTTTAAAGAATTTGTCCTCAGGGACAATTTCCTTTCTAGAATCATCTTCAACTTGTTGATCTCAACCTTCATTAAAGCTTAAGAGACTAATTTTCACATGTCTAACTGTAAGATGTGGTGAAAGATTTCAGGTATATTGCAGGGGGACACAATGGGACATATGGCAGATGTTTCATCCTTGTTCTTTCATGCGAAGAGATAAAAACACACATAGGCGACCTCCCTTTTCACAGCGTCTCCAGGGGAACAGCTGAACTATGTTGCTGTGGGACTTGTGCTGCCAGACTCCCAGAAGTCATGCCGTTGGTATTCCCTCTGTGTTTTCCTACCTCTGCTCCCTCTCCTCAGCTTGTGCATTCTGCCTTTACATACTTTTAACATACGCCCCCACCTTTCTTCTCTTCAGTGTATTCCCATTATCTGCCTATCTTTCTTCTGGTCTTTATTGTGCTTTATTTCAAAGTACAGCAGTTTATATGCCTCTTTATTTTTAGGCACTTTTCTGGATATGGAACTATACATTGTTTTTTTTGTTTTTTATGGGAATGCAGAGATCTTTCTTTCACAAAGGGAAGCAAATGAATTTGGCTTACAGTAAATACTGAAATGCACAAGGTGAGGTATAGATCCCACTAAGAGCAGATTGGATTTCCTATGCAGACTAAGCAGTTATAAAAGCTTTTTAGTCTGTGGAGTAAGTAGTTAAAAAGCAGGCGAAATGGTGGGGAAGTGGATTTCCAGGCTGTAAAACGGCACAAACAATCCGTTTTCTTTATAAAACACAACAGATTGAGGCAAGTACTTCTTACATGCTCACACCAAAAACCACTTTGTTTGATTTATCCCACATGGTCAATGCTCAGTGTCATGTGTAGTGAATCATGTAGTCTACAGTACCCCCTACTGGTGATAACTGGAAACACAATAACCATAAAATCCCCAGACTAGAGTAAACCACCCCAAATATTCTGATAGCAAGACATTTAAATCTTATTCATTCACTCAGGCTTTAAAGTTACTGATTTTTGTTCACATTATTTAGTTTTATTATCACACAACTAAGGTAATCATAACACAGTTTCTCTTGTGAATTTATTGTTGTTGTTGTTTTTTTTAATGTCATGTAGACAAGCTTTTTCCCCATAGGCTTATCTGTTTAAATAACCCAAAATATTTTGTTAATTTTAGAGAAATGTCAACAAAGTTTGTTTGTCTCGGTTCCCCAGAACAGCCAACCGAACAATTTCCATTTCCTCTCTAAATGTCACACGGGATCTGGGCTTTTTGCATACATGTTGGAATCTGAATTTTTTTGCAATGTTTCCTTTTAAGCTGTTGCTTTATTCGTATACATCTTTAAAGTTGAGAGATGATCTTAAAAAAGCATGGCATATACTTACAGTATCCTCCTAAGTATTTTAGTAGAATACAGTAATGTAGCTGTCATAAATGTTTTCTGAGGACGCTGTCCCACTGCTTAAACTCTAAACCTTTTGACTTTTAGTTTAGGTCCAAAAAGTATTTTTACCAGGATGCTTTTAAAAAGTGAAGCCAAAATATTAAGAAATAATCTGTCATTCATTTAGCTCTGACACTCAGGAAAAAAAAGAGATAGTTTTATATTCTCTTTAAGTATTAAAGATTAAAATTTAGCAGGAAAATTTGGAGAGTTCGATTTTGATCAAACCTTATAAAATGATCTGTTTATCTCAGCAGATATTTCTCATTAACAGGTGATGTTTTCTTAAAAAAACAAAACAAAACCTATAGCTGATCAAATGTTTGCCATTGTGGCCCGATAGCTCTAGAATGAGCTTCCTTTGGACAGAAGAAGAGCTCTTTCATTTTATGTTTTTAAGAACAGAATTCCACCCCATTCTAAATATCTCTTAAAAACATGATTTTATCCTTTGGCTTTTATTACAATGTAGTCTTAGATTAATTGTGCTGCTTATTTGGGTTTTTTGTGCTATGTGTGTGATTTAATGAATTTAACAGTCTTGTATGTGTTTTTAAAATAGTTTGTTCCTAAGAATTTGTACTAATATTTTTGATCTCATTGCTTTACCAATGAGGGCCATCTTCTTCAGCTGCACAAACTTTGTGTCCTGAAGCACAAACTAAGCTGTATAGAGCACCTGTTGTTCAGCCTGAGGTTGTTTCTTCCTCTTTAGACAAAAATAACAATTTGTTTAGAGTTTCGTCTTGGGTGAGGAAAAATCAGCCTTCCTCACCCGACTGTTCTAAAATTCAATGCATATTTCCTATTCAGAAAATCTCTCCATATAAATTTACTCAAGACCAATATATTACTATCAAACACATTTTTTTTTTAAAGAAATAAAACAGTTTATTTTTTCCATTGTTATAATTGTTGTCATTATCAATATGAAATAATTATTTTGAAACAGTAAGCTGAGTGTTTCAGGCGTTTTTACATTTTATTTGCTTTAATATGTTATCATATTTTGACTTGACTTATATAGAATAAAATGCAGAGTTCTGCAGTCTAACATTTGTCTTTATGCTAGAATCTGTTAGAACTGAACAATCCGCTCAACAGCTTTCTGTAAAACTTCTCAGATATCAGAGGTTTGCCAGTTTAGAATCGCTCAATATCCTCCTACACCTCAAGCCTTCTACACCTCTTGCATAACCTGTATCACTCAAACGCACTTGTGCACTCTGCAGTGGTTTCCTCTAACTTCCAGTCGTGCAATATTAGTTCAACACACATATTCTCCATCATAGGTTTATAAGCGAAAAAGCAAATAGCAGAAGGCACCACACTCAGGGTTTGGTTGTGTTTATTTTTCAAAGATCCATTTTATTCTATTAACACAACTAAACTGAGAGTAAAGCAAAGAATAAAACAGTTTTATAATGTTGTACATGATTAATTATTAATTTAATCTGTCTCTACAGTAGTTGCATTTCTTAATGACACTGACTCAGCACCGATATTCCTTTTTGTCTGTCCCAATTCCAACAATAGATTAAAGCTCTTAGAGCTTCCTTGCATTTCCAACCATTGGCCCTTGCTTTACAGTTATCATTGTTTAGGCCTCCAGTGTAATAAGAGCAACAGGACTTCACAGAGATCTTCCCGGAGTCTCACAGGGCTCGTGGTTCAGCTAAACAGCATTCATGTTGTCTCTGCGGGGAACTTCAGTGCAGTGTGCCGATAAACATAGCATGTGTGTGTGTGCATTTACCTGACTTTATGCAGATATCTGTGTGTGCTGCAGTGTAGTATATGTCTGGCATTTCTCCAGATCTCAGCGCTAATGGAGCGCTAATGTCCCTGGTGTACCCATGTTTACCTAATAACTACATATGGGAGGACAAGACGAGAGCTTTCGCCTACTTAGGCGTGACGCAGCCTGTAGGTCTGACTCACCGTTCTCATAATACCTCCTGCATTCTGTCCATTTACGTCTCAGAAGCAGAAATAATCCTTATATGCTGCAGCTTGTCTTTTAATCCTGGATCTTAGGAAATCTTAGCCAGATGTTCACCTGTTGATTAAAATTGTTCTTTTTTCCCCCCCTTACATTACCAAAGCAAAACATTTAGCAGGATGTCCCTGTGGATAAAAAAGGAGGAATGAGTGCATATGCTTACTAATGATAAAATCTTAGATTCCCATCTCCTGGTTAGAATTTATATACACTTGTTATGAATGTTATTCTTATTTTGGGCCTGTAACGCATGCATATGTAATAAACTACAAACGTAACATGTAGTTTACCCCAAACGTAATAACTATGAACATTTGTAGAGATTTATTATGTTTGTGGAGAAGCATACATCTTCTGAGATATTTAAAATGCAACAAATAATTGTTGTGTTTGTTGTTTTTTGTCACCTGCTGAATATGGAGGAACAACTCTGCAATATTTAAAAATAAATACAGAACTAAATAAATAAATGCTCAATAAATAAATAAGCATACAATTAATCGCCCCAAAAAGTACAATCAACAAATAAATGTAGGTAGAAATTAAATTATACAGTGAAACATAAATGGATATATCTCTTTTAATTAGCTTCTTTATTTATTTGCCTTTGTAATAATTAACTTATTTATTGATTGATTGTTATAATCTTCAACTTTATTTATAACTTATTTTTTAAGCATTTATTTATGTGCATGTGATAATATTTTTGTCTTTTTTATTCTTCCTCTGTATTTTTTTACCCTAATTATTTCTTCAACGCTATTTATTTCTGCCTGTGGTTTTAACATTTCTGTATGCATTTCTGCCTCATTATGTAAATGAGGATGGGGTGTGTCTTTGAGGGTAAACTTCTGCCCATTGGTTCGCGGCCCATCTTCGCACTCGGGTCTTTTGTATGTATAAAAAAAAAAGCAATTAATTGTGTTAATTTTTTAAGCCGTTAAAATTAATATATCTACTTTATTGAAATTAACGCATTAAGGTCATAGCCTTTTAATTCTCTTATTGGCAGAACTAGAAAAGTTCTTTTCAACTACTATTTTTTTCTGGCTTAAACTGGGTTTATGCTATCAGAGATTTAGATGTTCCTTTCCTCTTTCTCTTCTAACAGCAGTCTAGACGTTTCTTTGGGATCATTGTCCTCTTAGAGCACTCAGCTGTTTTCAGGGTTTAACCACATTACTTCATCTTACCCCAGAGATGAAATTAAATGATGACGGAAACTCAGAAACCATCGTCAGCATCTGAAATAAGGCCCTTTTTTTTTTTTTATTGGTTATGGACAGAAATGCCGTCAGAAAAGAAAGAATCCTCCCCTATTTAAAAAAAAAAGAAAAAACAATTTCCAAATAAAATAAAATAAAATAAAATTTACAGCAACAACCATAAACACAACTAATATCATATGGAGATAGAAATGTTTTTCCATGGGTTTAGGTGAGGCATTCAAACCCTATATTTGAGAAGCACAGTATCTTAGCATCCAAATTTTTAATCTCTTTCAGTGGGTGAAGGTAAAAACCTCATACCCATGGACCCCAATGGCCTCTCGGATCCATACGTCAAACTCAAGCTCATCCCAGATCCTAAAAACGAGACCAAGCAGAAGACCAAAACCATCCGCTCCAACCTCAACCCCAAATGGAATGAGACCTTTTCTTTGTGAGTACCACCATCTTCTATTCATCATGTTCTTCCTCAGGCTACATTGCAATTTATTATGCTTAGTTTGTCTTTACTTAAAGCATTCCAGGATTTAAACATGAATTGATTTTCAGATGTTCTAAACTTGTTTTAAAGTGCACTGTTTCATACTGTGTCCATGTTTTTCTCTTTGATGATTGTAATGTGCTGCTCAGCAAGCTGAAGCCTTCAGATAAAGATCGCAGGCTGTCTGTGGAAGTGTGGGACTGGGATCGGACCACCAGGAATGACTTCATGGGAGCGCTCTCCTTTGGCGTTTCGGAGCTCATGAAGTCTCCCGCCTGTGGCTGGTAATATTGACTTTCCTTATTATCCCTTATTTAAATTGTGGAGTCTGATTTTAAAACCTAAACTGAGTTTAGATCCTCACACCAAATACTCCCTGATTTGTACTACTACATAGACCTTCCATTTTTATAGTTTTAACCTATTTTTTTAAAGTAATATCAGACCAGATATTTATATATACATATATATAAAACCTTTAATCTTCCTCTGGTAGTAGAACTAGTATAAACTAGGTTTCCCCAATGTTGGTCCTTCAGAGTGACCATCAGTATTTATATGAATCCATTTTCCAACCTGTCTGTATGTTGGAGAAGTAACCAGGCCTCTGTAGAGCTGACTGATATCCTGATGAAGGATTTCAGACATTTGATTCAGATGCGCTGGATCTGGGATACTTTGACAAGTTGCAGAATAGTAGCTTATGATGAATTCACCTGGTCTAAAAATGTCCTATTTTAAGCCAGTAAGGACGATCAAAGTTATTTATGTTTTCAAAATGCCAGACTACTTTCTTTTAATTCAGATGTTTAGATACACCATTAGATTTAAGTTCTTCTAAATAAATTGGAGAAGCCAGGTTGATAATGTCATTGTTTTGTAAATTTCTGGGGCTGATTCAGTGATTTATTTAGATTTAGCAGTTGAGTAATTGGATGTATCGTGAGCCGACGCTTCAGGAATATTGGTTCCTTCTGTGAAATGTTAGACTTTCAAAAGTTGCCCATTGAAATTGCATCTTTGTGCACCCCATGCTGCTCTTCTAAACCTTTGGATCACCTCTGTAATCTAAACACATGCACTTTGCAGCAGCTTCCTCTATGCTCCTCTAACTGAACATCCGGCTATATTTGCTCAACACATATATTTTCTGTCACAGGTCCTTCCAACACAAGCAAACAGCAGACTGTCCAATATTCCTTTTTTCTTTTTCAAATAACCATTTTATATCGTTAACACATTTGAACTGAGGGAAAAGCAAAGAATAAAACTATTGTATCATGTTTCCACCAATTAGAAACTTCAAATTAGTTTTAAAAGCATCTAAGTGATCTCTTGCATTTCTGCAAGGAACCTTGCTGCACTGTCTGCGGTTAAGATTAGCTTTAAGAATCATTTCACTTTTGCACGTTTTGTGTGTTACAGTAGCAGCGTTTCTGTATTTGTAGCAAGTTTGCACTTTACTGCTATTTTCTACGATTGCAGCCATTTTCCTTTACATGTTTTGTGTTGTTTTTTATTTTATTTTTTATGTTTTTTAGGTTCAAGTTATTGTGTCAGGAGGAGGGGGAGTACTACAACGTTCCCATCTCAGTGGAGGATGATGGCAATGAAGAACTGAGGCAGAAATTTGAGGTGAGACCTGCACTAACTTAAAGACTTCCTTTCTTTCTTGTTATCCATATTGTATTGTGTATTTATAGTTTTCAAGCTAATTTCTTTGTATTTTCTGCTGTAAATGTTTTTGTTTTATAGGGCTCATGAATTATATGCAGTTAACACAGAAAGTAGGGAACTTAGAGTCTGTTTGATTATTTGTAAGGAAAAAAAAAATGTTGGTTGAGCAACCAATTCCAGACAATTTTAATATGTATTGATATAACCGAAAGGAAATAATGGAATCAGTAAAAGGAAAAAGATGAATATGAAGATGTTGCTCAGTGGCACTAACAGGACAGCCTAACCTATCCCAAATATTTGATGACTATAAGCAGGCCATTTCATTCTCTGCACTCTGAAATTTTGAAGCTGGTCTTCTTTTAAACCCACCGTATAGTGGCAGTCATTGACATACGAGGGGCGTTCAATAAGTAATGCCCTTGACCCACTTACAGATGTTTGATCAAGCTGAAATTGTGCATGTGAATTTATTTAAATCTCTATAGATTAAGTAGCAAATTACAGCTCTGAACTATTTGTGGTTTCTGACTTACAAGTGTCTCAACTGAGTCAAGTCTGAAATGGAGCCTGTTGAGTGTCGAGCAGTGATCTGGTTTTTCTATTGGAAAGGACTCACACCATGGGAGACTTTTGATGAAATTAAAGTAACTTATGGTGATGATGCCCGTTATATGACCTTGCAAAATGTTTTACAAGGTTATAATATGGGACATTATCACTATAAGTTACTGTTATTTGATCAATTGTGTGCGTCCTTTCACATTCAAAAACTCAGACTTGACTCAGTTTTAACATCAGTAAATCAGAAACCACAAATAGTTCGGAGCTGTAATTTTCTATTTAATCTATAGATATTTAAAATACTTCACATGCAAAATTTCAGCTTGATGAAACATCTGGAAGTGGGCCAGGGGCATTACTTATTGAACGCCCCGCGTATCTCAGGGTAGAGTTCAGTTCCAGTCGATGGAGAAAGGGAATAGCAGCTGGTTGAATCTCGTTTTGTCATCTCTGCATTGAGATGGCCTTCAGTGAGGACAACTCGTGTTCTTCATTTCTCACCCACTCCCTCAAACTGTCAAACCACTAAAAGCTGTGTGACATCAGCAGAGAGGAATTTAAGCATTTTCATGCCCACATATTCAACTCTGCTGCTCAACATAAATAGTTGAGCAGCAGAGAATTAACAAGTTGAGGAGAATTAACAATTTTGCAAGGCTGCAAAATCTGCTGCCAATTAGCCTTATTAAACAAAAGCAAAAACAGATTTAACAATTTGAAACCTAAAAAACATATTAACTTTATATTATATTTGCCATGTTTTATTTTTTATGTTAATTGTGAATTATTTATAAGGTTTATGAAAAATATTCTCTTCATCCAAATAAATGAAACCTATTCCTCTTTTACATTAGACTCAGTTCTCGAGCTCCCTCTTGGTTAATCCATCTTCCCTGAGCTCCAAAGCATTTCCACCACAGTTATCAGATTGTCACAATGCTCCCGAGCACCACAGCTGTTAACTTAATCGCTATGGGACAGCTGCAGCTTTGGCTGTTCACATGCAGCTTATTGTCTCCTCTGCACACAAACCCTGGTTTCATAGACGGTGAATGCAAAATATTTTATAAAGACTATGCACTAATTACAAAAAAATGTGTCAGACTGCTATTCTTTTATACAGTATAATTAATAACCCTGGTTAATCAATGTTCATTGTTTGTAGTGTTTCTGCCTGGCACATTGAAGTACCACTGACTGAGGCAGTTCCTATTATTGCTGGTATTTTCTGAACATATCATCTTAAACGTTTCCACTCTAATCTTCTCTAGATTTTCCATTAGCTTTTTAAAAAAAAACATTATTTGCAGTTTTACAATTTAACTTTGGGGAATGCAATCATAGAGTGGAGTAACACATTATAAGCTGTTTTGATGGGTTTATTTGTGTTGCTTTATTTCAATTTTCCTTCTAACATCATTCTCCATAAAAGGTTCACTCTGATTTAATTGGTCTGTGAATGTCGTCAAAAAGAAAAGAGTTGGTAAATCTTTTCTACAGGTACACATTTAAACTGCTTTTTTTACGACTGCAGTTTCCAAAGCAGATTCGGACTCTGCTTGGAAAGATACATTTTCAGAAAAATATGTTTACCTAAAAGGATATTTATTAAGTTTTGCAGCAGGTTAGCTTTTTCATTTAAAATACAATGACAAGAAATTTTCATTGTCGCTAATTGTAAAGAAATTAATCTTTTCATTAAATATTTGTTGAAAAACAACAAAAACAACATTGTATGTTCAGTTTAAAGTTGTTAAAGTTTAACTGCTGAGTTGCCCCTTTGATTGGTAGATTATCCATTTAGTTTCCTCAAATGTAATGAAATCCACGTTGTAAGCCGTCACGCTCTGTTAAGGATGGATAAATGTATGCACATGCCTTGCCAAAGTATTTGTGACATCATCGCTACACTTACCTTTAAATCGACCTGAAATTGCGATAATAAATAGAATATTTTACACTTTTTAAGAAATGTATTTAACACCAGCCCCTCAATCAACATTCACTGTAGTAAAAACCTTTTGTATAAAATATTTTGTCTGTATAGACTGGATACTCTCCTCCACTTTCTCTCATACATTTTTTTTTATAGAATTCTTTAATACATTTTATTGCTCAGCTTAAATTAGTAAAAATCAGTTTTCAAGTTTTACAACAAATCTTATGTGGATTTTGGTCAGAACTTCAATTAGACCTTTTTTATTTAAACAATTCCATAGTAGCTCTACCAAGTTTCTTTTCGTGCTGAAGATGAGGCAATCCCACAGCATGATACTGCTGCCACCATGTTTCACAGAAGGAGTGGTGGGTTGTCTTTTTTCTACCACAGAGTATTTTTCATGCCGGTAAACACTTTTAGTATTTTTAGATTAATCTGACCTAAGCACCTTCTTCCACATATCCATGCTGCACTTTTAAGTTAAGGAAAGCATGTATGCTTACCCTTTCAATATACTTTGTGTCCATCTATAGCATGAAATCCCTGTAAATTAAATTTCAGTATGCATTTTTAGGGAACAAAAGGTTAAGAGGTATGATTACTTTTGCAAGGCAACATAGAACCCAGTTGATGGTTGGTTTCTTGAGCTCTTCTTGTCGTGGGGATTGTCTCTGTCCTCTTGCCTCTCTTTCCTCCTCATGAATCCCTCTGTGGTTTCTCCGTTTTTTCCCCCTCTTAGCTTCCTGCTCCCCTGTGTCCACGGTGAGACCTACAGAATGCTGTACATCCTGTGTCACATGTTCATATTTAATGCAAGAGTTTCTCTCTTCCTTTCTTCACGTCTTGCCCTCCTCTCAGGACTGCCAAAATAACTGTAATCTGAAGGTAGCCCTCTCCCCTCTCCTTCCTGCCCCCTTTATCTGCTCACATCTCCTCTCCTTTCTTTCTTTGTCTCATCTTGTTGTGATGACGTGTTGCTTCATCCTTCCCCACATTGTTATTTGTCTGTGGCTTCATGCTACTGGGAATTGATCCAATTTTCCACAAATATCTTTCTTACATGCAAAGTTTGGACATTTTTTAAGTAAACAATAAATGATTGAATACCTAACTGAGTATGCAGTCACTGTTGGTATTTTTCTTTTGCTGTTGAATTTTTGTGTCGTTGGTGAAATGATTGCCTGTAAGTCCTGATTTTTTCTAATTTTACAACTTATGGTTATGCATGTTTTCTCTATGTTGTTTACTTCATGTCCTCCTGCCTACATCTTGTCTTGTATCAATGTATTTGACTGTTTATATCACTTTCTTGTTGCTTTACGCAAGTCCTGCACAGGGCTTAAAAATAGTATAGAACATTTTAACATGTTTCTCAACTCATATAATGAATAATATTTCTAATTTTCATCTTGACATTAAATTCACACCAGATCTTGTTGCAAACTGAGAAATTACATATACACAGGGATCAAATCAAACTAGTCCATAAGTTATGTATGATGAAGTGTAGGGCTGAAATAATTGTTTGGATTAATCATGATTAATCGATTATAATCGTTAACTGATTTAAAAATCTATTAATCGTTAACTGAGTATAGAGACTCTAAAACATGCCTTTAGCTGTAAGAGAGACCCAGTTATAGCAGTAATTACATTAACATTATAAAGAAAATATGTAAACATTTTACATTTAAGATATAAATCATTTTCATCTGTTACTTAAACATGACCACACCACAGTCTACTCTACCTCACCCCAGTAGCAGAGTATAAAAGAATAAAGGAATAGAGAGAAATACCACTTGTGATCACAAGATGGCATCAGTGCACTGAATGTTTTAAAGCATAATAAGTGACTCTGTGTGTGTTTGTTTGTGTGTATGGGTTTGTTATTCCTTACTTAAAATGTTGTTTTTAAAGCAATCCTTTTTCCGGCTTTAAATATGGTAACGTTTTCAATTTACTTTGCCTGTTTGTATTAGTACTTCATTCATTATTGGCCTTTATTTAGGACACATTTATGTAGGTGTTGGCCATTTCCAACCATTTGCCAAGTCATTTCCATCTTGTCATAGTTTGATGTAAGGAAATAGGTTGTTAGACACCAACAAATGCTACGTTTCACAAGAGGAAAGTAATCAGTGTCTTTAATTGTTTATAAAAAGGATCAAGAGTCTGTAAAAATAACTGGAGATCATGTCGGTAGAAATAAGGCAGCATCTTCACAAAATAATATAAATAATATATATAAAAACAATTAAATATTTTGTAAAATGTACCTTTTTTTAATTTAATTACTCTTGTAAATAACCAGAAAGACAGAAACAAAACACAACAAAGATAAAGCTACTGTTGTTGTCTGTGTTGTGAAATTAACAGACACTCATTCTGAAGTTTTTTTTGGCTTCACAGTGATTTAGTGTATATATACAACAAAGTATCGCAAAAGTAAGAA